ATATATATATATATATATATATATATATATATATATATATATATATATATATATATATATTATACAATACACAACAATAGAATTAACATGACAGTATTGTGTCTCATCTCTACATCTTCCCATTATTCTTTAATTACTAAGAATAAATTATACCAAAGATTTTAATCTTTTACCACTATCAATTTATCTAAAAATTAATAGAGTAAAATTTATTTACATTTGTCTAAAATTATATTTGCCCTAAACATTAGTGGGTGGATAATTTGAGATGGTATATGTTGAGCTTGCCAAGAAAATCTATATAATATTTTGGTTTGCTTATATTACAAATAGACCATTAAATTCCTTAATATGTCTATTTGACCGGAATAGACGATTGAATATGAGAGAATTTTCATGTATGACTGAGATGAAAATTAAAAGAGAACAAAAATCAGATGATAGATATATATTGAGTTTAAATTGAATTGTCTAGCAAATTCGGAAAACATAAACTCAGGTTCATCAATTTGTGTTGGGATTTTAAAGGGTTAGACACTAAATGCAAATAGATCATGATAAAGTGGTACACAATTGTTTTTCTCTTACTATATACAAGGTTTATCATTATGATCCGACATGATTTAGGATAGATGCATAATTCAATAATTTAATCTCAAGTGATAGGGCATATTTTGGTATCGTCCTCATGGATGCGGTCAACAACCATGTCAACACGGAGTCTCGGGACTAAGATGGAGCATCGTATCAAATGTGCCACCTCATACTCGGGACGATGGCGACCCTTTCTCGTGTCGTTCGAAGTCGTATAAGACAACATCGTATGATCGAAGGTCGCTCCAAAATGTTTGGAACGGTACCACACGACGTCGTACCATGCAGGTCTATCGACGATCGCGCAAATGTATAAGTCAGCTGCCTAAGGAGTCAGTCGCCATCGTAAGGACACTTACGATCAACCCTTGAGTGCAAGCATTAAAACCCCCTGATCAACATCAGGTTGGGTGATAACCCTTCTATGAAAACTACACTCGATATTGACTTAGCTTTCGAAGGGATCAAGTCAGAAAATCCCTCCCATCCTTATGGCTCAATCTGACCCGACGAAGACCCCGTTGTAACGACAATCATGAGCATCGAGAATTAGACTAAATCGTGTTGACACCTCGATCACAGCTAGAGAGGTTCGTTAACATCATACAATTAAAATTAGTCGGAACCGGTCATTAAATGACAATAAAGACTTGCTTCCAAGAAGTTTCCTACTGTTGAAAATTTCATAAGGAATTGGCTCATCAAAATAGCTGTCTTCAGAGATTATGCAAACTTCGTTAAAAGATTCGAATCCTTAATTCAGAATCGATCAGGTCAAACGAGTGCCGATCACACGACCTTCCAAATACAACGTATTCCATCTCTTGGTGGGAATTCCCTATCATGACGCCCCCAACTTGGACATTCGATTTCCACGTTAATTGCAACCATCCACAGGCCCTGTTGACATATTACTATAGGACGCAACCACCATCTTCCACCTTCCACCTAATGCACCGAGCACTTTTGGATTGGCTGCGCTGCCCAACCTACGAAAGCCGAAATGGAAAGTAGTTAATAGGATTTCAAAATGAGTAGGAGCGATAATACATTCATATTCCTGAGTTGCTAATTAGGTTTCGAAATCAATAAAATAAAAATTTTATGAATTCCTTAGTCCCAACCATATATGTATGTGACTTACATGTTAGATGTATGTCATAAGATTTCAACGTTGATATTAGGAACGTGCATATTAGATCATTAAAATATATTCTTGTATACTATATTAGTATTATGGTTATTAGAATCAAATTGGGCTAATTATATATTATCCCCTATAATTATTTTCTATTATAGTTAGTTACCTTTAGTATCTTGATTCCTATATTTTTAAAAATTAGATTGAGATTTTTATACTTATGAAAATAAAATATTTAATCTCGTTTCTCCTCACGTCGTTGATTCTGCTAATAAAAATACTATATGTGATTAGTGATAAACCAAAGTGAGATAGAGTCAGCATGTGATGAGAATTTTACTTTCATAAAAATATAGAAATCGAGATGCTAAAAATAATTAAGTATAAAAAATTCACTTAGTTATTATTTGAATTATTGAGGAACTAGTTAGATACCGAACTTAATATTAAAAAAATAATTATATATTGAAAAAAAGAATAATAAGAAAAAAATCAGATATTTTGTGATGATGAGGAAGTAATGAATATAATATAAAAATTATTCTCACAATAATTATGATTATTTAAATATTTCCATTTTTGATATGATTCAAATAATCTAATTAGTGATTTTTTTTAATCTGTGGTGACAATGCGTCTGTGCTTTATATTACTATTTTACCCTCGTGGTCTTTTTATTTATTTATTTATTTATTTATTTTATTTCCCGCTACTCGTTTAAAGAATACAAGAGGAGGGCAAGTCGCGAAGGCGGATCAGAACTGGTAAACATCGATAACGTCGCGGGCGCAGAGGGAGGGCGAAAGCGAAGACCAAGTCCGTGCCGTCTCGTTCTTGCCTAACCATCCTTCCGTCGATCGGGGAGGTTGGAAGAGGAAGGATTGATCACCCGCCGCCGCCCCGACGCTCCCCTACTCGCCACGCTCCGTGCCGGTCGCCGGCTATCATGAGCGGTTGCCCCGAGCCCCTCTCGGATCTCGGCGGCGGATCCACATCGCAGTCCCCCTCGAATGGACGCCGCTTCTCGACCCGCCGTCGTCATTGACAACGGGACCGGGTACTTCCCCCTTCTCGATCTTGTCTTGGCATGCGAATTCCCCTATTTGAAACATTTTCTCGAACAGATTGTTTGATCGAATGCTCGCTCTTGTTAGAGCTGTAAGCGGAACATCCTTGTTATTCTTCCATTAGGACCATCGTGGTGATTGTTAGCTTCTACATAAACCGCGGGCCCGATTGACCGATTTGAATCTTGACATTATTAGCAAACCATTTGTTAGGGACTGGTAATCTGGGGTTAGTTCTTGGTGTGGTTCTAAGGGGAGGAGGTCTGATTCCTAGGGTTGGCTAGTTGAACTTTCTCATATCTATTGTTTTCTTTATTCTGTTTAATTTTTTATATTACCACAAAGAATCGTGTAATTAGATTATACGGATATATATTCCTAGTGGCCTTTTTACCACAGCAAGGGACCAGAATTCAGCCTTAGGCATTTTGGGGTCCAATTTCTGCCGTAGAGGTTGTTTATGTTTTCTGATTTTATTATAGATGTGAGTAGGAGCTGGCATCCAACTAATTAATGTTGCATGATCCTTATAAGTGGGAGGAATGAAATGAACGATTATGACTAGATCTTGTTGGACAGTGGAGTTGCATGACCGATACAAAATTAGAGGATATAAAAGTTTTTTATGCGAGCAAGTCATTTCCATACAAGTCCAAGCAATAACATTGGGTTTGTCAATTGAAAGAATTTCTGTGATCATGATGTTGTTGACAACTTGACTGGCCCTTGTGAGCGGTTGTGGCCTAGGTCTTGCACTACTTAAGCAATCCTAGTAAGAAATCAAGCACATGCTTTGTGCATTTAGTTGTGTGTATATGTGTATATTCTCAAAAGAATCAGTGAACCTGAGTCTCTTTTTTTGTATATAAGAAGTCAAAATTATATCTACCTCTATATGAATTTTATGCCTTAGAATACAGTCTTCCACTTGCACTAAATCGAGGTTGGTATGACAAGCTACATCAACTTATTAATGGTATATGATATGTATTTGATAAGGGACCATTTGGTCGGTCGGTCATTAGTGCGGCTCGTAGGCTCGTGAGGAATTATCCGCTTTGGGCGATGGGCGTACGGTTTTGTCATTTCGGAGCATGTGTGCTTTAAAAGGCGCCTCTGAGGGTAAGAGAGACCTGACGGACTTATAAGCTCTTGGTTCCCATACTCCTCAACCAATGTGGGACTAAATGGCTTTATCAATGCTCCTTCCCGTAGGGGAGCCAATGGCTCATAGCCGAGGTGCACGGCTCGGGAGCGAGTTTGCTCGGCCGAGGTGCAGGCATCGGGCCCTCCTTCTAGTGCCAATCTGATAAGGGACCATTTGGTCGGTCGACCATTGGTGCGACCCGTAGGCTCGCGAGGAATTATTCGCTTTGGGCGATAGGCATACCTGCACGATTTTGTACTTTCGGAGCATGTAAGCTTGAAAAGGTGCCTCTGAGGGTAAAGGAGACTTGGCAGACTTATGAGCCCTTAGTTCCCATACTCCTCAACCAATATGAGACTAAATGACCTTATCAGTGTTCCCTCCTGTAGGGGAGCCAAGGGCTCATAGCCAAGGTGTACGGCTCGGGAGCGAGTTTGCTCGGTCGAGGTGCAGGGC